TCATTGCCTCCTTGGGCAGCAAAGCACACATGTGCTAGAGGGGGACTAGGAGGGGTCGTGGTAGACAGTTGAGCCTACGGAGATTAGTGGAAGAGGCCAAAAATGGGATTTTGGTAAAGTGGCAGAAGGTGTTTGATGCTGGTTTGGGCAAGTAGATGATTTCCATTTGCCATGAGAATTAACAGGATGGAATGGCACATAGAAGTAGGATGTTCCACCAAGTTTGAGCTCATTTGGGTAAAGTAGCCAATGTAACTTTGGTAAACCCTAGAAATCAACAGAAATGGACTTTCCAAGATTTAGTCATGCAAATTTATTCTCCTTGATGCACCACTTAGTGTAGTGTCATAATTTTAGGTTCTGAACATGTCCACAAAAGTTGAGATCAAAAGGAGAAAGTTGCCAATGTAAACTTGTTCAAATTTGGTTCTGGACAGAGAGGGTTTTGGGGCACTTTGATCAAGATAACATTCTCTCCAACTTGTGCCATTTGGTCTAGATGCATTATTACGCCATTTGAGCATGTGCACCAAGTTTGATAGCATTTGGACATGTTTGACAGTGCAAAGTTGTTCAAACTTGAAAAAGGACATAAGTGGTTTTGAGAGGGTTTAATGGGGTTATACTGTTCTCCATGTCATGAGGCTTGGCAAGATCATCAAACATGTCATTTGTGACATGCTAGAATTTTCTTGGAATTGTTGGGGAATATTTCCTGTAGAAATATTTCAAATCCTTGAAATGGGCATAAATGGTTTTGGGAGGTTTTGTCTAATATTTTGAACATTACCATGTGTTGAAACTCATATATATGGAAAATATATGTCCGCAGAGTTTCCCTGATTTTTGCCAAATATTTTTGAAACAATAAAATAATTTTTCCCTATTAAAGACCATTTCTGGCCTTAAGAAAAAGCTTTTAAATAAAATAGGAAAATAACTGTTAAAATTATATTTTTATGGGTTATGGGAATCCTATATCTAATAGGTTTCAAATATACTCTTTGAAATATTTTTCATAGCCCAAATCAAGTACTTGTAGTGCAAACCTTAATTCAGGGGTTTTTGGAAAACTAATTTTTGAAAATACTACTTGGACAAATTATTTTTGTAAGAAAATACTATATTGCACTATACACATGTAATGATCATTGGGCAGAAAGTTTGGGGCAAAGAGATGAAGTACAGAAGGTGGAGTAGTTGACTTTAAAGAGCACTTCAAAAACCACACAGAGAAGACCAACTCCAAAATGAAAGCCAAAAAGTGCAAAAGTTTTTGTTGGTCCAAATTTTCATGCTTTTATTGATGCAAAAGACATGTTACAAAATGCAGGGTGTGACAACTTCCGTCGTTACTATGTGTCATTTCCTGATGATCAGTAGTGGAGCCCAGTTGGGACGATCGGGGATCTAGCATTTGGGGTTGTCTTCCTTTATTTTAGTTCCGTAGGCGGTCCTTGATTGTACTCTGGATGATGTATGTTTAACTTGATATTTGTGTGAAGTGGCGATTGTATGCAAACTCTTTATCCCTTTTGTTAGATTTCAGGTTCCGGCAGACCCTTGAGGTTCGAACACTGGGGTGCGCGCGGAGATTTCGCCTCCTACCTACCTGCACCCCTCCGCCTCGCTAAGATCTAAGCTATGGAAAGAACGGCATAAGAGACACAGGGTTTATACTGGTTCGGGCCACCGTTGTGGTGTAATACCCTACTCCAGTGTGTTGTGTGGTGGATTGCCTTTTGGGCTGATGATGAGGAACAATACAAGGAAGAATAGCCTCGCGAGGGTCTGTTCTTGGCTGGGGCGATGAACTGCTGGGAGGAGTTCAGTCACCCTCCTCTCTCTCACTCTCTTCTATCGTTGGTCTTGATCCCCCTAAAACTCTCTCTCTTTCTTTCTCTGATTCTTTCTCTCCTCTCATTCTCTGATCTCCTCTGATTCTCTGATCTCCTCTGATTCTCTGATCTCCTCCCTCTCTTGTGGGGGGCTGGTCCTATTTATAGAGGCCCTAGTCCTCTTCCCAAATATCAAGCGGGAAGGGAGCCAACAATGGCGGGCTAATTTGAAGGGGGACAACTAGTACTAGCTATCCTGACAAAAGTAGTCTTCGCTTGCACAAAGCTCTGGTGGTGACGCCGTCTTGGGCTCCACAATGACCTCCGTCTTGCAGTCATCCTGGTCTTGGTCTTGTTGCACCGAAATGGCAACCTTTGCCTGATGCCTCGGTACTCCGCGGCTGTGCTTGGCCCCTTTGCACCAAAGAGGAAAGGAGGACACTGCGCGGGCTGGCGCCCGCCTGGCGCCCTTGGTCGTCATGGCTTGCGTCACGGGCACCTCATGAGGTACCCCACCTTGATCTCTCCGTCTCCTCGTGAGCCAGCCTGGTGAGGCCATGCCTGAGGAAGCTCCGTGTCGTCTGCCCCGCGAGGCTTGGCCCCTCGCGAGGGTCTTGGGTCTGTGTTGGTGAAGATGGGCCATGCTGGGCCCCCTTTGAGCCACGCCGCAGGCCGCAGGCAGGCAAGTCTGGGGACCCCCGTTCCAGAACGCCGACACCTTTTCTTATTAAGTACATGGGATTGTGTGAAGATTAACCCTCTTGCAACAAAACCACCATGCGGTTATGCCTCTAAGTCATGCCTCGACACGTGGGAGATATAGCCGCATCGTGGGCGTGACAAGTTGGTAATCAGAGCCATCCCCGACTTAGGAGCCCCCCGCTTGAGCGAATCGCTGACGTTGTTGAGTCTAGAACAAAATGTTTTGAGTCTTAGGATTATATATATCGAAGAGGAGGATTCTGTTTCCTCCTCAGTCCCTTCGTCGCTCTGGTGAGGCCTCCTGACGTAGATGTTTTGACTTTCCTCTCCTCAAATTTCACGAATTTTTTTACGATCACGCGGGTATCTTGGGATCGTTCCAATATTCTTGTAATGAGAATATTGTTCTTGGTGCCTCTTCACATTTAGGGGTTGTGGCAGTGTCCCGGGGAGTTGAGCTCCGAGGTGTTGTCATCACAATTTTATCGTTGCAGTTCTGTAATACCTGAGTTCGCCGACATCGAAAAACTCTTTTATGCAGTTGTTGGTGAGATAACCTCGACGCCACCCAGTACTGGGGTGGGAGTTCGGGAGTATTGCCATAGCTTGTATAACGGATTCTTTTCGAAGGTTAAGATACATGATTTCGAGAGTTTTCTTGGTTATGTGTTGATGGATGGACACAGTTGGAGCGTAAGGCTTGTTAGTTGTGCGATATATATTGTGCCTCCCTATATCCCCAACACCAGATTGCATAATCAGAAAGTTTTGGGAGTTAATAGGTGGGAATTCAAGTAGCTCCTAGGATATCTTTCCGACAGATGCATGACATGAGATTGGGGTTCAACGTCTAGTGGTCCGCCTATCCACGGTCGACTTAACTGGAGTGTTGTGTCCTCTCTTAAAGTTCTTTTCATCTTATCAAGTTTTCCTTCTTCTTTCACACGGAGTGCTGCCCAAATTATATCAATCTTATTTCTTCTCTATCTTGTTTTAACCGGAGTGGTTTCAATATCTATCTTGTCACTTAACCTCTTGGTTCTCATCGTATCCCATGTTCCTCTTATCAAACGGAGTGTTCGCAATCTCATTCATATCCATTGTTTCCTTGTTTCACTTTGTTTAACTTCTCAAGGAAGCAACTTTGTTTTACCTCTTCCTCTTCCGCTTCTCTCTGGTGCCATCCTTAGATCTCATGACAAGATCTCTTGTAAGTGGAGCAGTGTTGTGACGCCCTGAGAACGACGTTCCAGAATACTTCCATATTTTCGTGACCTCCGTGTGTTTCATTTATGCTTGCTCTATTTATTTTTGCATTGCATCATGCCATCATGCCAGTATGTCATTTAATTTTTGAAAACACAACTCAATAAGTTGCATAGATCTTTTGATCTATTTAAATAGAGGGAAATTCACTTGGTGAAATTCTCTTTAAAACATATCCTCCCAATATTTATGGAGTTATACATAATATTCCATCGTTTTGGAATTAACCATAACATACTTGCATCTTAATTCCCTCTTGTTTTTAAATCTTTTAAATCCTTCATCTTCTCCAAATACTCATCCTGTACTTGTGGAGCTTTGATATATCAAAGTAGCCACATGCCAAATGTTGGTTCAATTCCTATTTATTTGACTCTCCCAAATAAATATTTTGCTTCTCTGTCTTTTCTATAATTAGTAGAAGGGACCTTTTTTCTCTTAATCGAGGCTGGCCCATTCTTCCAGCGCAGCCCAGCAGGCCATTTAGGCCCATGCATTTAGCCCATAGCCATGCCAGCCCTTTTAGGCCCAGCCGTCCCTGACCTAAAGCTAACACTAATCCCGATCGAACCCTCAGCCTCTCCTCGTCCTCTCCCTCTCGTTCCCGTGCCCGCCGCCGCTCCCGCATCGCTGGATCCCCATCTCTCCCTCCTCTCGCTCTCTTCCTTGTGCCGATCCCCATGGCCAGGACCCCGACCTCCTCCTGTGGCGCCCTGCTCTTGTTCTCGTTGGGGCACCAGCAACCACCCCAGCCTCCTCACGCACAAGCAACAGCCCAGCCCCGGCAAGCCCTATTGCCTCCCGTCGCTCCAGCCCCACCGCAAGCCCCCTGCAGGCTGTCGTCGATGGCTGCCGTGCAATGCCACCACCTCGTCCCCGCGCTGTAGGGCGTCGCCTCCGGCCGGATCCAGCCGTCCTCGGCCTGTCCTCAAGTACCCAAGGCCCTGCGAGCCTCCCACTTGCCTGCCTCCCCTCGATCCACCATCGCCCGCAGCTACCGCCATGGACCCGAGCTCAGAGCTCCGCTGCTGCCTTGGTTCTGCTCCGCCCAACTCCTCCTTGAAAGCCACCTCGCCTCGGACCTTGCCCTGCTCTGGTTTCCCCGAGCACCTGGCCGCTCTCTGCTGCACACCATTGCTAAGACCGTGACCGCTTCCTGTCGTTGGACCGTCGAGATGCAGCCCCGAGGCCTCCATGCACGCGGCAAAAATTCCACCTCGGCACTTGCACCCCCATGCATCTGTGATCCTTCATTCGCACGCCAAGACCAGACCCGTCAAGTATAACTACACCATGTTGATACGGGAACCACTACCGTCGACCTTCGAAGAACATGGTTTTTCCGACTACCCCTTTGTTTTATCAAGACCGTCAATTCCCTCGACGACAAGCGCACGATTACGCGGATTGTACCAAGTACCCCTTCGTTTCATCGAGACCAGCAAGTCCGAAGACCCCAAGTACCACGACAACCCCGAAGGGATTCAAATCCGTCAAGTTCCTCTACCGATGACTCGAACGGCTACGAAACATGTACCACTACCGTCGAGCCGCGAAGACCCCGTGGACGTCAAGTTCCGTGTCGTGACCCCGAACATCTACGGAAACTTGTGCGACTAAGAACGTGAACGACTACCGTCGCCAGGATTGCTAGTACCACTACTGTCGCTGAGGACCGATAATACCACTACTTCCACTACCGTCGCCACGAGAATGACTACTTCCCACAACGACTCGTGAACGACTACTTCCACTACGACTGTCCCGAGAACGTCTACTTCCTCTACATTGCATCGAACCCGAACCGTCCCGTTTTCACACTTTGAAGGTATAACCGCCGAGACGATGAACCATGGACGAATGCATGTGTTGTATGAGATGCATGTTTAGATGTTGTATCTGCCCGTGAACGTTAGTTGATCCCTCGTTTGACACCGCCGTTGACCCGTGGGACACCCGGTAACTGGGAGCACCCCACCATCTCTCGCGTGTTCCACACATCCGCACACTTCTCTTTTGCATCGGTATCTCAATTGAGTTACCGAAAGCGATATGTTGTCGTGGCATCATTTTCGGATTAACCGCCATGGCACCCATTTTCATTTCGTCATGGCGACCAAATGCTTCATATCATGTTCATGTCAACTTTTAACAAAATTGCATAAAACATGTGTAAGTGCATCTAGTGCCCCGTAGTGATTTTGGTGTATTGAAGACTTATAGGTTAAGGGACTGATGCGTTTGTGAGTGTACACAGGTCTATAAGTCTATGAGGATTTTGATATTTATAGAGAAAGTCGACCCCTAAAAATGAAGTTCTTCGACTGAAGACTTCGAATTTCCGAAGACTTTCCGAAGACTTTGAAAGTGAAGAAATTGGTGTGATCCTGAAAACTTGGTATTCATTCGAGGAATATGAAGTGTGAAGAATTTTGTTTTCGTAGTTTAATTTTCTGTTTCTTGAGTCATAGGAAACACTGTACTGTTAAAGGGGGTCGAGGAAATACTAAGGAAAAATTTTCATGTGATGCTCAACTCAAAATCCTACACCTACCAATCCCTTCGAGTGAAGTCATTGGAAATCTCATACAGTTTAGTCAAGTTTCTTCAGTGACAGAGACGAAGCTCTTCTGGTCTCCGAAGAATTTGTTCTGACTGAGGAGTTAGGAATTCGCCAGTGCGAATTGTCTACAAGTGAGGAAGATGATAGCCCTGAGGAATTTGTTAGTCAAATTTCCGACCATTGCTGTGCTACGCGCCAGCTGTCCCAAAATATCCTTCCACCTAAGAGTCATATCATTGAATGGCATTTATGTCTTATCATATTGGGCTGCTAGGCTATAAATAGCCGCCCCCCTACAACCACTAGATGGTTGGCTGCTCCAAGAAAAACTGACACTTGTCATTTGAGAGCATCCCATCCTCTGAGGACTTTGAGCGAAAATCATCAAGTGAGGAAAACCCAAACCCAAACACCATCAAACCCAAAGTGATTGAGTATCACTGAAGAAATTGATCCTGCGTGGATCCGATGCTTGTTACCTTTGAAGACTGTGCATCTTCCAGATGGTTACGCGTCATGGTCTAGAGTATCCAAGAGGAAATTGTGGATCGCCGAGTGACCGAGTATGTGAAGGTTTGGAAGTCACCTGAAGACTTACCACGAGTGATTGGGCGAGGTCTGTGTGACCTTAGCTCAAGGGGAATACGGTGAGGACTAAGTGTCCTAAACTGCATGTTCAGGACTGGGTGTCCGGGACTGTGTGTCCTCAGGTTTAAAGACCTAGCCGCCCTAACCAGACGTACAACTGTCACAACAGTTGGAACTGGTCTACCAAATCATTGTCTCCACTGAGCTAACTGGTTCCATTTCCTCAACCCTTCCATTTCCTCATTTTTGTGTTGTGTGCTTGTTCATATCTGTTTGAAGACTTTCTCTATTTTCTTAGCTCAATTTCTTTAGTCTGTTTGTCTTCATTCTGTTTTATCCTGTGTTTATGCTTTCTGTACTCTATGCTCGTTTTCATTTCATCAAGAAGACCATGCTCATGTTCTGTTATGTTTACTTCTGAGTACTTATTCCGCTACAAGTAGTTCTTCGCTTAGGAATTTCCTCACCCTGAAAATCCTCAATGAAGAATTCATAAGAATCGCCTATTCACCCCCCTCTAGTCGACTTAATGCACTTTCAGTTGGTATCAAAGCAAGGTACTCCCTTGTTCTGTGTGATTTTGGTTTAACCGCCTTGAGTTTTAGTTATGTCGATCACAGGAATGAAGACTTTGACTTGCCCCATCTTTGACGGTCATCATTATCCCAAGTGGAAGGCCATGATGGAGAAGCGCTTCATTCCGATGAACAACGAACTCTGGACCATCACCGAGATTGGTGTTACTGACCTATGCAAGATGGCGGAGGCTGATGATATCCGCAAATACACGCTACTCAACCTCATGGCGAAGGACATCATCTACTCCAGCTTGTCATAAAATCAGTTCAGAAACGTTATGCATCTCACCCATGCGAAAATCATCTGGGACTGACTCTCTGGGGTCTATAAAGGCCATCGATCTCACCATGAACCCTGGTTTGAGGACTTCATGGTATCACGCAAGGCTATGACTTTAAATCCAGAATCATCATCCTTTGCACCATGCCTTATGGCAAAAGGTGCCAAGGTAACTGAAGGCTACTTATCTGACTCCAGTGGTGATGAATATGGTGATGCATTTGGACCCAGTTATGTCAAACTTGCTTCCCTTGCCACTAAACAACAAAGAGCTTTGGAAAAAGTTCAAAACATGCTAGACAAAAGTGATGATATGTTGGGCGAGGAAATGGATCGCACTAAAATTTTGACTGAAAATCTCCAGAGACTTCAGTCCAAGTTTGACAATCTTCAAGGTCATCATAACACTCTCCTATTTGATCATGAGAAGCTTTCTTATGAATTTCTTCGAAGAAAGCAAGATCTTGAGCAGTTAAGATTGAGTTATCAAGATCTTCAGAAGGAGCGTGATTCATTACTTTCTCAACTAATCAGCGCTCCAAGGAAGAATTTATTCCTCCATGTTTGTAGTGCATTGAACGTGAATCTACTAATTCTTCACCTGAATGCTCAAATACTTCCATTGCTGCAAATTCTTCAACTGCCTCTGCTATCACTAATTCCTCATCTGAGGACATTGCTAGTATCACTGATGATGAAGGGCTGAAGGAATTGTATATGATAAGCATGTACAAAAGCCTCAAAGGGCATCAGGCTCTTTGTGATGTGCTTAAAAAGCAAACCCTCAACAGGAACCCAAGGAAAGAGGGTATTGCCTTTGAGAGGAAACTTAATGCTGATGGGACCTACTAGAAACCTAAGCAGTATCCCAAAACCTCATGGGTTGTTGCAAAGGGACCTTTAGTGGATCCATCTACTTTATCTGGCTTTTCATATGAATCTTCATATTCTTCTAATGAGTAAATTGACTCCAACTATAAATTGTTCAAAAATCAGAATGTTGAAGTATTTGCTAGATATGTTGGCACTAACTGCAAGAACGGTCCTCCCATAAAGAAAATCCGGGTTCCCAAAAGGTGCCTTGAAAATCTTCTGGTGAATGTCATCATGACACCACCTGTGAAGAATGGTAACCCGATATGAAATTCTTCATATGGACCAAATTCTTCATATGGATCCAAGTCCTCATACGGACCAAATTCCTCACATGGATCAAATTCCTCAAAAGGATCAAAGTCCTCATATGAGTATCATCGTGCTAACCCATCTGTTTCGCAGGAAAGATCTAACGATTATGGATATGTGCATTATTCTTCAAATCATTATGTTCACAAATCCTCGAAGAATTTCTCTGCTTACTCTTATGCTTACCCTAATCCATCCTACGTGAAATGAAGTGGATTGGCATATATGCCACCTTTCTCTTATGGAGCTCGCAGAATGATGAACTCTTTGCCACCCCTTCAGATGTGGGTGGTGAAGAAAAAGAACTAATATCTTATGCAGGGTCAGGTCTCCAAACGAACTTAATCGTCTGAAGAATTTGCTGGAGACCTGAATATGCTTGAAAGGACACAAGCTAATCATGAAGAAATGAATTTTCATCTCTCACGTCCGCATACTGCTTTATCTGTTCTATTGCTTGATGAAATTGATCTAATGAAATTGATATCATATTATTCACTTACGAAGTATATGAGTTCGCAAGTTTCACTAATTCATCTGCATGATGATCAACCCAAAGCCACTGAGTGGGTCCTCGATAGTGGATGTACAAATCACATGACTGGTGACAGGAGCTTATTGATGGACTCTGCTTTATCTCCATCACATCTGAAGCATATCACCTACATTGACAAAGGCAAAAGCAAGGTATTGGGTCTAGGTAAGGTTGCAATCTCAAAGGATCGACACATGGACAAAGTCATGCTTGTTGAGTCCTTAGGGTTCAACCTCATGTCTGTCTCAATGCTTTGTGACCTTGATATGGTTGTTGTCTTTGGCAAGTATCGTCGTGTTGTGATCATGGATGCTGACAATTCCAAAGTCTTCGAAGGCTTTAGGAGAGGAGATTTGTATATTGTTGATTTTTCTACAGGACCACAACCTGCTACATGTCTACTTGCAAAAGCTTCAGAAGGTTGGCTATGGCATCGACGACTTGGTCACGCTGGGATGAGGAACTTGCACATGCTCACGAAGAAGAAGCATGTCATTGGCATCGAGGGTGCTAAATTCCTCAAGGACCATTTGTGTGGAGCTTGTGAAGCCGGAAAGATGACCAAGGCCAAACATCCCTCAAAGACCATCATGACGACCACTCGTCCATTTGAATTGCTTCACATGGATCTCTTTGGCCCTACTCACTATGCCACATTTACTAATGCTGCATCTTTATATGGCTTTGTCATTGTTGATGATTATTCTCGATATACATGGGTGCATATCATCACTTACAAAAGTGAAGTGTAGGAAGTCTTCAAACGAATTTCCTCGAGGGCTTCAACCAACTTTGGTGTGAAGATCAAGCACATCAGAAGTGATAATGGAACTGAGTTCAAGAACACTGGTCTTGATGACTATCTTGATGAACTTGGTATCACTCATGAGT